AGCGATTGATGACGTCAGAACCCTGTAGCCCCATATTTTGAACAATAGTTTCGTCACATATGGACAACATTACCGTTAACAAACGACAGACATATTTAAGGGCAGCAGAGTTGTCTTACGCCTCTGACCTACAATTTTCTAACATCAGAAAGCTCGGGTCGAGGACTCCGCTTCAAATCCATGCACCTATCATACCACAATATCGTTCCGCGAACCCTATACAAACGAAAAGCTTTGTGCTCCACTCGCGAAAGCAAGGCCATAGAACGAACAATGATGAGGGCAGAGAACACCTTCACAACAAATGCACAGACGCGACCTGCTGTGCCACGCGCTGTGGCTGTCCTGCTATGATGACCTGCTGCAGCTGGCCTGCTGTGTTGGCCTGCTGTGACCAGCCGCTGTGAACACAGCTGTGGCCGGCCGAGCCGCCGTAATGGCGGTGCCGGCGCCTCCACAGGTGCCGCCGGCGCGGCCCCCGCTGGCCAAATGTGCCGCCGGCGGCGCCTGGCGACGTGACCGTTCTCGCGTCGGCTCCGACGCGCGGCGGGGCGACGGGCCGTCGAGCCCTGCCCGGCGACCCCTGTCGGCGACCCCGGACCGCAGCCGGCGCAACCGTGAGAGGCGGCGGCGGCGGGCTTGTGACGTCACCCGCGACCGTGTGAAGGTCGTGCGCGACTGGTATGGACTCGTGCGCGACTGGTGTGAACTCGTGCGCGACTAATGTGAAGGCTCTGCGCGAATCGTGTGAAGGGATTGCGTGACTGGTAGTAGGGGTGCGCGCGACTCGTGTGAAGATCGTGCCTGGTTCGTGTTGAGCTCGTCTCTCGTGCTCATTGTGCGCAGCTGGTGTGACTGTCGTGCCTGGCTCGGCTGCAAGGGCGCGAGCTGCAGTGACAGCGACACAGTCAGCTACAGTGACACAGCCAGCTGCAGTGACACGGTAAGCTGCAGCGACACAGTAAGCTGCAGTGACCCAATACCGACGGCAGGCTAGGGGCGATCATCGTTCTCTAGGAGCAGTCACCATGACAGCGGGCTTCCCCGGAAGGCGGACACTCTGACTGTGGCGCCGAATTCGGCCTGACAGTGTTGTAGTCCTTGCTGAAAACATGGCGGGCGACGAGGACTCCGATCTGGACGAGACTAAAGGTCGCAGTGGGCGGCGAGCACGGGGAAAACCGGGTGGAAAGTGGCTGGCCAAGTTCTCCTCTCGCAGACGAGAACAAAACGACCCGGAGACAGCGCGGGCCTCGGCAGGGCGGTCGAGTCAACGACAGAATGCCAGAGACGCATGGAGGAAGATGAAACAGAAAATGAGTCGGGACAGAAGTGCCAGTCATCGCTCCAGCCAGGAGGCTTCCGCAGCCTCCGTCGCCGACGACAACATCCGCCACGCCGCGGATGACGCTCCCCTGAGGTCAGCTGGCACCGGCGACACCGGCGTCGGCGGAGAGCAGGGGTGCGGTTCCGGCGCGACGCCCACCTCCTCGCCTCCCCTGCGGAGAAGGCTGTCGCAGAGGCTGAGCCGTCAGCGGCGCGCCTCCAGCGCCTTCTTCGCCCGGATCGGCAACGACGGAAGACTGCGGCTGGGCCTGCTCAAGCGCCGCCTGCGCTCCAGAAGCCGCGGAGCCGGCGTCGGGGCGACCTGTTCGCATGATGACGTCAGCTGCTCGACATCGGTGCGGCTGGGCGCGTCCAGCACCAGCGTCGAGTCCTTCTACACGGCCGTGCTGCCGCCCGCCCAGCCGTGCCCGGCGCCGCGGCCGGCAGCGGCGTCCGGTGGCGCCGCCGCGGCACGCACCGCGGGCCAGGAGCACCTCTACTGCTGCCCGGAGGACGTGCGGGACTCGGCGCCGGCCGAGGACGCGGCGCAGGCCCTGGAGCGGCTGCTCGCCACGCTGGAGCGGCGCGTGGAGGCGTGCGAGTACGAGCACCTCACCACGTACCCCTTCCTGCCACCGCCGCCAGCGCAGCCGGTGGGTGCCGAGCCTGGGCGGACCAAGACTGCGGAGAAACCCGGAGGCTCCACGCAGCGGTCCGAACCGTCGGGTGACCAGCACGAGCACTACGTGGACATGTCGGCCGGGCGGGCGAATGACGTCAGCGAGGCCGTCACTGATCACCGGCTGGACGCCATCGGCCGCAAGCTGGACAGCATCTGCCTGCAGCAGAGCTTCCAGGAGTCGGGCCTGCGCTTTGATCGGCCGCACCGGTCACGAGGCACAGGCAGAGTTAGCTACCGGGTGAAGGACGACACTGACGATCGCCCGCACTCCTGGGCCGTGCCGGGGGGAGACCAGGACCTCGACCTTGACCTTGATTTTGACTTTGACTTTGATGGCGGCGCGTGGCGAGCGAATGGTCAGAGACGGTCAGACCCGGAGCGCAGCCAGGGAGGGGCGACTCACAATCGATCGGCGGCCAACCACCGCCACAGCTGGCCGGCTGGTGGCGCCCGCGGTGACAGCGCCGAGCGAAAGCCATCCTAAGCCGGTCTGGTGCACAGGAGGACTACGGCGGCCACACGTACTACGACGCCGACGGCAGCCGAACTTACTCGCGCGGGGGGGGTCACGTTTGACGAGGAGTCACACGCGCACGGCAGACGCTCGCAGCGATCCACGGATAGCGAGAGACCCACTGAGGTCCAGCTGAAGCGTCTGCTGGAAGCGATCAAGGCAGGGAGGCTCACCGTTATAGTGAGTTGGTGTGCTGTTCCGCTCAATAGGTAACACAATTTTGTCATCGTATTTGATGTTTTTGATAGGTCAATATTGCATTGCAAGAGGGTCGAGGTCACGGAAGCCACCATTCCGCGGAAGACTCCTACCTAAGGTATATATATATATATATATATTATAATATATATATATATATATATAATATATGTATATATATTTAACCAAAGTCACGAAACATATGATAGACATGGCAGAATAAGGCAGTGTACCACGCGACAACATGTGTTCAACTACTTAACAAAAGTAAAAAATAAAGGTACGATCATCGTCCAGCGTGCAACTCACCCCGACAGCACCCAGTGCCGTCATTTAGTTCCAACGGCGACGGACCTGGCTCGTCAGCTGATGCACCATGCGTTTTCGTAGCCATTTGTGCCGCAGCTGGGACAGGGCGACACAGCTGCTTCTGCGGCTGTTTTCAGTGTAACGCGGCGACGAGTGCCGGCGGTACCCTTATATTGCGAAGTGCTGATTCCCGGCGTGCTGTGAGGAGCGATTTGGGCCTTCTAAGGACCAAATTTGGATTCGTGAATAAGTTCGTTGAAGATGTTTTCCATGAGACACATGGGCCTGCGAGCATTGCGGGGTAAAATACTGGGCGGGTGCTTGCTTTTATTGTATTATGTAATTTCTGCTGCCCCAGCCTGACACAGATTACTAAAAGTGTGCTTTTTGGGTGTAATATAAGTGGTGACTTCTGGAAAATTATGTCTGATGATGTTATCACTGCCATTGTACACTGCCACTCCATATTGCCTAGCTTAAATACTGGAAGCTGTGGTTGTATATTGTATTGTGCTGTCTGTGAGCATGAGTGATATGTGCGTGCCATGTAGAGAAGAAACTTAATTTCCTGACATCACATAAGGCCAAACCATCACAAATATACAGATCCACACCAGCCCACAGCTGTGAGATGCCAATGAACATCCCAGCAAATTTCCTCTCCCGTGCCAGCCCACCATTAAGACAAAGTTTGTCACGTTTGCTTATTCATGTATGTACACATGCCTGGAGTTTCATCAACCTGGACCTTAATGTAACAAGCATCACACTCATGGTCAGGATGATCAAGCAGATAGATTTTGCCATTGTGGTCAGAACCCCCAAGATAGTTTAAGTCTCATGTAATGGGGTTAAGTCAGGTAATTGTCCACACAATCACTCACTTGATTGGTTGAATTAATATCATCCACTGTAGCCTTTTGAAAACAAGCTTCCCATAGTCTTAAAACTCTGTATGGTGCCTGAAAAGTCTTCTCTAGCAAACATTGCAGATATTTTTCCATATACTGGTATTTGCAAAGTTTGGTAATGCTACATGGCATCCTAGGTTCTACTCAGATGTGTCCAAAATGCACCAGAACAGGAATCTTTTAAAGTGCCTCAGTTGTTTTTGAGTTGGCCCATTAAATGGTGTTCATATCCTGCAAACAACATAAAAGATGAAGAGCCAATTTATTATTGTCATTGAGCTGTCTTAAGCTGCTAACAAACAATAAGGTTTTTAGCAATACAGTTTTTACCATTGGTTTTGTTATGCATTCTGGGCAATGATCAAGTTTTATTAGTGCCATCATTTTTATACATGTGCAGTGTCAGTTACTCCTGCTTATCAGTTATTTTCACCCACCCATCATGGCCTGCACTCATCACATTCTGTGACTCCACCACCACCATGGCTGACTGTGGCTGCGCCATGTTCGCCAGCGTGGTGCGTCGCTGCTGAAGCCGGTGTGAACTGTCGCTGGCGCTGGACTCGCCGGCCGGCCAGGCGCGCATCAGCCAGGTCCGGCTGCGCCACTCCACGCCGATGAACACCGTCATCATGTTCGTGCCACAGCAAGAGGTGGGTGCCGCAGCAGCCGCGGCCTGCCGTCGGGGCACGCGCCGAGGCCTGGGGTGGGGCCATGGTGTGTGTGTGGGGGGGGGGGGGGCGGAGCCGGAGGAAGGCAGTGGTGGTCGGTAGGCTAAATCGACTTTCTGGTAGTTGATGAGGTAGTATATCTTTACTTTAGTGGATGAGAATCGGGCTGGGTTAGAACCTGTTTATAGCTGTCAGAGTAAGAGTTTGAAGCTGCCTGCGCCTTGATTCAAGGTCTGAATCGCTTCCATTGATGCGCAATCAAGCCCAAGCATGGAGCTGTGTTGGCAATACTAGTGTAACGAGCACTCCTCACGGCCGATGACTTTGGCTTAGCATCAACCGTGGCTGGACAAAACCGGACCTGCGGACCAGCATAGCCCATGAACGGAAAATGGAAGCTCCACTGTCAACGCTGCTGCTGTTTTCGAACATGGCGGACATCAAAGAACATCAAAGCCGTTGCTGGTTTTCGAACACTGCAGCCCCCATGGCCAGTGTTGGTTACATGGGAAAGTCGCTGCCAGTCCGTACTTATCAATTGAAACACGTAACACCGTCGAAATGTTTGTGGCACTTTGTACGCTTGCTCATCTAACCCGGCGCGGTGCTCTGGTCATGGATCGCTCCCTGCGTGCTCAGCTCCATCGGACCCGCGTTCGCGCCGCTGGATGTCGTCCGTGAGAGCACTGTATCGGTATCTGTATCTGCACTGTATCGTGAACAATACGTCAGGATTCACGCCCTGAGAGGACCGTGCGCCTCCTGCACTGTGCTGACTGTGATCTGGCAGTGTTCAGTGCCCTGTGCTGCGTCGTGTGTGCTGTGCCGTGTGTGCTGTGCCGTGTTTGCTGTGCCGTGTGTGCTGTGCCATATGGGCTGTGTTGTGTGTGCTGTGTCGTGTGTGCTGTGCCGTGCGTGCTGCGCTGCGTGTGCCGTGCCGTGCGCGCTACGCCATGTGGGCTGTGCATTGTGCTGTGCCGTGTGTGCAGCGCCACATGGGGTATGCGGTGTGTTGTGTCATGTGTGTTGTACCGTATGCGCCGTGCCGTGTATGCTGTGCCATGCGTGCTGTGCCGTGTTCGTTGTGCCGCATGGACTGAGCCGTGCGTGCTGTGCCGTGTGTGCCGTATAAACTGTGCCGTGTATGCTGCCGGGATGTGGTTCGCGTGACCTGTTGGCTGGCAAGCTTGATCTACGCGCTGTGCCGGCAGATCTTCTGCGATGTCAGGCTTGAACCACACTCTGGCCGGGTCCATGGCAGATAGAGCGTCGTGTCATGTTTTGAACTGCCCTGCACAGTGTACCGTACCGCTTGTACCGTACCAGTCGTACTCCAGCCGTGTACACCACCAACTGTGTGACGCTGCACGGTGAGATGCGGTGCTATGCTATGCTATGGTTCGTCGCGTGCCCTTTACCTGAGTGGTGTAAGGACGCCGCACGAACTCCGTGTCCTCTGAACCTCGCCCGTCGCCGCGAGGCGTGCCCCGCGCCGGCTGCTCCGTGACCGTGCTCCGCGCCGCTCCTCCACTCCCCTCGCCGCGGCGCAGGCCTGGATAGTGGAGCGCATGGGCAAGTTCAGCAAGGTGCTGGAGCCGGGCATGGCCATGCTAGCGCCGCTCGTGGACCGCGTCAAGTACGTGCACAATCTGCGCGAGATGCCGATCGAGCTGTGCAACATCCCGGGTGTCACCGAAGGTAGGCGGCCCGCCGCCGCCGCCGGCTGCCTGCTGCGGCGTCCCCGCGGGCCGGCGGCTCGCCGTGCGAGGCGAGAGACTGAGGGTGTGGGGTACGTGTGCTGACAGCGGTCTCTGCAGGCCGGCGGCTCGCCGTGCGAGACGAGAGACTGAGGGTGTGGGGTGCGTGTGCTGACAGGGGTCTCTGCAGGCTGGCGGCTCGCCGTGCGAGGCGAGAGACTGAGGGTGTGGGGTGCGTATGCTGACAGGGGTCTCCGCAGGCTGGAGACGGCGCTGCGGGCTGCTGGCGTGTCGTCGGTTTTCGTTGTGTGCGTGTGGACGGTGTGGGTGGGCGCGGGCTCGGTGCGCGTGTCGGGCGGTGGAGGCGGCGGTGGCGCTCCAGGTGATGCAGCGGCGGGACGTGGCCGCCCCGACAGCATGCGCCCGGCGTCGCTCGCGGCGGAGCCTGCACCGGTACAGAGCCATGCCCGACGGGGCCACACGCCGCTCGCATGCCACAGGGAGTCGGGTCGCTGCCGCCGCCCGTGTCCGCCGGACCGATCCGGTCAGGTCGACGCCGGTCTTCACCCGCGCCGCCTGGGCACTGGAGCTGTGGCGAGAGCTCCGGGCGTCGGCGGCGGCGGCGGCGGCGGGGCACCGGCAGCCGCTCTGACCCTGCGGTCGTGCCGCGCCCGCCCGCAGGCCTGGGTGGTGGAGCGCATGGGGAAGTACTCGCGCGTGATGGAGCCCGGCCTGAACCTGCTGGTGCCGGTGGTGGACCGCGTCAAGTACGTGCAGAACATGAAGGAGCAGGCTATTGATATACCGCAGCAGTCTGCGATCACGTCAGGTGAGAGACGGCCGCCAGGTCCTCCAGTGGCTGCCGTCTGCTGCCTCCGGAAGCCGCTCAGCGGCGGCGGAACAGTGCTGCCACCTGCATGGTACTTGTGCTGCCACCAGGGGCGGTTCTTCGCGATTGGAACTTACCGCACCGTCGCCTCTTATACCTGCTCTGAGATGTATTTTGTGCGGGCACACAGCGTACAGTGCCTGTTTTTTCTGACGGGGTCAGTCTGAGTATGTCAGCAGCCCGGTTTCGCTCATCAGTGTACACTGAGCGCTGCCCAGAGCATGAGGAGAGGCAGTTCAGAACACTCCAAGTGGGGAGGGGTACACCACGCGGTTCGTCAGGGACATTACATACATGAGATAGAGTTCACCGAACAGTGCTTGCCGCAAATGTAAGCAGCCTTAAGTGTCATGCTTCGGAGAACTGGCTTGTTTTTTGTCATGCACTAACGGGCGGCCTGCCGGATGTCTAAACCAGCGACCGTTTTTGAGGTACGTTCTCCTGATGTATTTCTGGGAGCACTGTTTCCTGGTATTGTGCGAATGCTCGACACGGTGATGGCGTTAGTACGGCTGTTGTTGGTACAGCCACTTGAATCTGGAAGTCGATGTGAGACAGCAAGTTCTCATGACAGACATGTTGGGATTCCATCCCTCATCTCGACCTCTCGGCACAGGATCAGCCCACCATCAGGGGCACCCAAACCGTTGACCCGATGCAGCCGTGCCGAATGTACGTTCTGCGCTTACATTGTTGCATCATCACTTAATATCTCTATCTTCCGTCTAAATCTACCTTCTAAAATCTACGTTCCGTCCACCTTTATTCTGCATCTGTGCAGCCGTGAAAACATTCCACAGCATAAATTCTTGCAATATGAGCATCCTGTGCTGTGGAGCCAACTGTGCGCCAGCGCAGCAACGGCAGCTCGCTGGCCGGTCTGTACGGTCCTCCCCGCGCCCCGCGTGCCATCGGGTCGTGACCCCATAACCCCGTGACCCCGCGCGGTGCCCTTCTGACGCGCCGCTCTCTGCGTCAGATAACGTGCTGTTAAACATCGACGGCGTGCTGTTCCTGCGCGTCGTCGACCCGTACAAGGCCAGCTACGGCGTTGAGGATCCGGAATTTGCCATCACGCAGCTGGCCCAGACCACCATGAGGTAGGGCCACACCGCACGTGAGAAGAATGGGGGGGGGGGGGGGGCGGTTCGGTACGCTATTGCCGTTTGCAAACAGAGGTGGCGTGCTTCAAGTGAGTTGGAATGGAACGCGCGCCGATGGCTGTAAAACAACCGCTATATAGCCTGAATAAATTATGGCTGGGTCAGACCTTTCGCACCTTCATGGTCTGGTGCGCCGAGGTCCCCCTACCGTAGGCTTCTACGGGCCCACGGGATATTTCTGGAGCCTCCATCATTGTCACGCCCGTCTCGGCTCCAATCTCAGCTTCTGCGCCCGGGTCGGTGCCGTGAGTTTGTCCGACCGACCGCCCGGCACTTCGGCGGCGCCCGTGGTCACCGCTGGTCACGTGTCATGTTTGGCCGACCGGCCGGTGCCCCAGCGGCGCCCGTAGTCGCCGCTGGTCACGTGTCATGTTTGGCCGACCGGCCGGCGCCCCAGCGGCGCCTGTGGTCACCGCCGGTCACGTGTCATGTTCGGCCCACCGGCCGGCGCCCCAGCGGCGCCCGTGGTCACCGCCGGTCACGTGCCATGTTCGGCCGACCGACCGGCGCCCCAGCGGCGCCCATGGTCACCGCTGGTCACGTGCCATGTCCGAGCGGCTGCCCCGGTGGCGTACGTGGTCACCGCCAGTCACGTGACTAGTCTGGTGGCCGCTGGCGCCGGTGAATCCGCCGTACTTTTTGCGTTTTACCCTGTGGACACCTTACTGGCCTGGTGACAGTCGTACCCGAGAGCTCATGTCGCCGGGCGGTGAGGCCGCCGCCGCGTGGAAGCCGCCGCGAGCGTGGCCCGTCTGTGTCCTCGGTCAGGTCGGAGCTGGGCAAGATCCAGCTGGACAAGGTCTTCCGAGAGCGCGAGAGCCTCAACATCGCCATCGTCGACTCCATCAACAAGGCCAGCGAGTCCTGGGGCATCACCTGCCTGCGATATGAGATTCGTACGTGCCGGGTGCCACTGTCGGTGTGGGTGCTGGGGTGCGGGGACCAGGTCACCCGCTGCTGAAGCGTCTTGGTCCTGGTCCTGCCGCTGGGGGACGAGGAGTGTGAGCTGGTCGAGTGGGTGAGCCGGGCGGGGTGGTACTCTTTGGCTTCTGGCTTCTACGACCAGCGGTCAGGGGTACTTTGGACTGTCTATATCGGCATGTATTATTCTGCCTGCACTAGCGTTGCAACTACTCACACTGGTAAGCGAGACGGTATCAGTATAAATTGTACTCATTGTGTGAGCTTCGAACCCAGATTTGCGATCAGTGGTCCGGGGCCTATCTCCACACCGCATGGCCGTTGGCGTCCCATTCACTGCACCACCACGATAGGCCACCTACATGATTCACCACAGATATCGGATGCCCGCGACAACAGCGCAACACACACCGCGTTTGTGTCTTCGGCGGACGCTGACTGGATTCTAATCGCGCCGCTTCACCTCGTAGGCGACATCAAGCTGCCGCACAACGTGCAGGAGGCGATGCAGATGCAGGCGCAGGCGGAGCGCAAGAAGCGGGCCGCCATCTTGGAGTCGGAGGGCGTCCGCATGGCCGAGATTAACATGGCCGAGGGCCAGAAGCAGAGCGTGATTCTTGCCTCAGGTGTGTGCGGTGCTGTCGCTCGTGTCCGCACGGGTGGTGCTCACATCCACTCTGGTGTCATGAAACCAAGCTACGAACCTGCGCTGTTTCGAGCTGCGCGGTATGAGCTAGCGTATATCAACTGGTGACATCACTGACCTGAGGTGACTCGCTCACAGTCACATAATCCGAGCCTGCTTGCTACTGCTTATGTTGCGGCGCTATCCTTGGGCTTTCAAACAGCCGTGAATGGCAAGAGCAAGTTGCATTACGTCGTCGGCATTGCGCTGTTTGCTGGCGCATGTGCCTGTCGTGTCCGGTCACGGCGCCCCGATCACGTGTCTTGTCCGCACCCGCAGAGGCGGCGCGCGCCGAGCTGGTGAACAAGGCGGAGGGCGAGGCGGAGGCGCTGCTGGCTGTGGCGCGCGCGCGCGCCCAGTCGCTGGCCGTCATCTCGGAGGCGCTCTCACTGCCGAACGGCCAGAACGCCGCCTCGCTGGCCATCGCCGAGCAGTACGTGCGCGCCTTCCAGAGTCTGGCCAAGAGCAGCAACACCATGCTGCTGCCGGCCGACACCGGCAACATGGCCGGCATGGTGTCACAGGCCATGGCCATATACGGCTCCGTAACCGGCAGGAACGCCGCCGCCGCGATAGATGGCAGCACCGCCGTGCCGCCAGATGGCAAGATGGGCGCGCGGCCAGCCAGCGGCTCGGTGACTGAGAGCGTGACCACAGGAATGTCGGACGGGCCGACTGGCATGAGCTAGGCGAGACGCTGGGGATAGTGAGATCAGTGCGGGACGGACAGTCAGACAGGGTCGCTAGCACGATTCGCGGTGGGCCGAGCGAGCGGTACGCCTTGTCGCCGTCCGTGAGTTTCGCGTGAAGCGGGACGGGTACTTTCCAGTGTGATCACGGCAGGCAGTGCGGTGTCGAGAGCGAGCGGCCGCATCTACCGGCCACGAAGCGCCACAGTACTGGCGAGGGCCCGGGTGCAGCGGGATGATAGCTCTGCGGCATTGGTTACGCCGGCGAGCAAGGCTGTGCACACATTTCTTCCGCAGTGTGCACCATCCGCTTCGAATCGGACCTGTCCAAAGAGCCTGTCGCGTAATCCGTTGGCACCGAAGTGAATATTCCGTGGGAATGACAGCGCGGCCGATGATCACGCTCCGCTGACCTCGGGTGACGCCTGTTTGACGACTCGTATGTCGCGTTGTGGTTGGGTGCGGCCTTCCTGCCGGTCCGGCCTCCTGTTCCGCTAACCCCAGAGAAGAGGCGGTCCTGGGCCTGGCGAGGCACCCGCCCACCGCCTAAGTGGAATCGCCCATACGCGTCCTGCTTCAGCGCTGGTCGCTGTGACTCACGTTACCCGAAGCAGGACGCCGATGGAGCAGGAGGAGGACGGGGAGGAGTGGGACGGGCGGGTCGGCCGTGGCGCCCGCGCGGGCCTGGTCTGTCGGGGCGCTCAGTCCGGCTCCTGGACAAAAGCATGCGGGTCGCGCCGCCTCGCCTCGCCTCCAGTCGTGTGCTGCTGCCGTGTCGTGCCGTGCCGTGCCGTGCCGTGCCGTGCCGTGTCGAGTGGGGTGTGTCGGTGGTGGAACCGGGCGGCGGCCGCCGGGCGCTGCGGGGTCTGCTCAGGAGTCGCCTGATGTTGCCATGGAGACGCTGGGCGCTGCCGTGGACGCGCTGACAGCTGTCTAAGGTTGTCATGGATTCGTTACCCGTCGCCGGGGCTGTCCAGGGCTGCTCATGTGGCTTCATGTAAATACAGAAATGCAGCAGACCGTCACTTGTTTCGGGCGCGGGGTGTCGTGAAAATCTCCTATATAATCAGTGGTAATGCCTGATTCGTCTGTGCTAGCAAAGTCGGCGATGTGGCGGCCCGGTCAGTGACCAGTGGGCAGGCGGTGGGTCATACAAAGTAACCGGACGGCCGGAAACTGCCAGCAATGAACGGGAGCGGCATCGCCAGGAGGCCCAACGCAGGGCCCGGGCAATCCGGTTTGTGACCTCGGTGCGCTCGTCCTGTTCGGTTGGGACGTACTGTACTGTGATAGACTTACGACGTACGATAGACGTACTGTAGACGTACTGTGATACGTGCCAGGGATTACCGAGTCGCCGGGATCTTGGGCATGACCAGGCGGCGAGGATATCTAAAAGGACAGTGGGCGTCTCCGGTTTCCCTTCAGATGTGAGGGAAACGGGTGGGCAGATGTTGCCAAGGAGCCCTGATATCATCGGGGAGCGGGAATAACCAAGGCACTCCAAACAACAGGGGCTACCAATGTACCAGAGGACTTGCGAGGCGGCGGGGCGGCAACAGGCGGGACTTCATAAACATGCCGAAGTCCAAGGACAAGCCGGGCAGAAATAAAACTTGCGTATGCATTCCTGGCCGACGGCTGGCAATACCTCCACAGGCGTGATCTGAGGCCCAGTGCAGCGGTTCTGTTGCAGGGGTCAGCACGTCGGCCAGTGTCCAGCAAGTACTTCGGCGGTGGGTGGAGACTGGTGCGTGTCGTTCGTGTCTCCTCGTTCTCTGTGCCCGGGGGAATGGTGTGCACCTGTCCTTGCGGTTGGGTAAAGGTCTTGTGTCTGTCCTCGCAGCTGGCTATAGGTCGTATGTCTGTCCTCGCGGATGGCTGTAGGTCGTGTGTCTGTCCCCGCGGCTGGCTATAGGTCGTGTGTCTGTCCTCGCGGATGGCTGTAGGTCGTGTGTCTGTCCCCGCGGATGGCTATAGGTCGTGTGTCTGTCCTCGCGGATGGCTGTAGGTCGTGTGTCTGTCCCCGCGGCTGGCTATAGGTCGTGTATCTGTCCTAGCGGCTGGCTGTATGTCGTGTGTCTGTCCTAGCAGCTGGCTGTAGGTCGTGTGCCTGTCCTAGCGGCTGGCTGTATGTCGTGTGTCTGTCCTAGCAGCTGGCTATAGGTCGTGTGCCTGTCCTAGCGACTGACCGTAGGTCGTGTGCCTGTCCTCGTGACTGGCTATAGGTCGTGTGTCTGTTATCGCAGCTGGCTACAGGTCGTACATCTTCCCTCGCGTTTGGCTATGGGCCGTACATCTGTCCTCGCGGCTAACTGTAGGTCGTGTGCCTGTCCTCGTGGCTGGCTATAGGTCGTGCGCCTGTCCTCGTGGCTGGCTATAGGCCGTGCACCTGTCCTCGCAGCTGGATATAGCTCGTACATCTGCCCTCGCATTTGGCTATAGGTCGTGCGCCTGTCCTCGTGGCTGGCTATAAGCCGTGCACCTGTCCTCGCAGCTGGATATAGCTCGTACATCTGCCCTCGCATTTGGCTATGGGCCGTACATCTGTCCTCGCGGTTGGCTATAGGTCGTGTGCCTGTCCTCGCATTTGGCTATAGGTCGAGCACCTGTCCTCGCAGCTGGATATAGCTCGCACATCTGCCCTCGCATTTGGCTATGGGCCGTAAGTCTGTCCTCGTGGCTGGCTTTAGGTCGTGTGCCTGTTATTGCGGGCGCGGCTTTGCCGTTCGCGCAAGGTCAAAAGCAGACGCGCAAGGTCACGTATTTTGTCAGTTTTGTTCAGGCACTAACATCTATTTTTGCTCATGAAGCAAATGCAACAAAAGCGGACAAGCAGACAAGAGGAGACGTTACGAGCATCAATATAGCGCCATGTCTATTTCACTTCTTAGGTAACCGAATACACGCCGGGGTTTCGCGTTCTGTGTGACCTTGACCTTTTTATCTTAAGAACAAGCTTTCCAAGCATGATGAAAGTGAACGTAGCAATCAGTACCATTTTATCCTTATTGTTGTATTGGTTTGAAAAGCAAATCAAAGCCGTCACACCGCGTTCTGAGGGTCTTTGTTCGTTGAGCTTGAAAGCTAGTTTTTGCGCGTGCGGCGAAAGCGGACATCATGAGCATCAATATGACGCCCTTTTTAATGCAATTGGTTCGTGAGCGACGTAAAGCTAGGATTTCTTGTTTTACGTGACCTTGACTTTTTACCTTGCGAGTGAAGTTTTGTACATGTGACAAAAGTCGGCATTACGAAGATCAACATCTCTACAATGTTTGCTTATGGTACGTCTGTCTCTCCCGTTTCGCGTAGCGCCATGCACGGACCGGACAGCGGGTCGCTGAACGGCGAAATTTCAACACGACGCGTAGACGGTTTTCGCACGAGGCGTTTTTCCACGGGTGGATCCCGAGCCATTGCGGTCCGGGGATCGCGGGTGGCATGTGACGGAGAGGTCGTCTTAGGCCCATTGGCTTTGAATGAGCGCTCCGAAAATGTGACCGACGACAAAGCTGACGAGCAGTGGTTCGAAACTGTGGTCACATCTCGGCAACCAGGGGTCGGAGAGATAAGAAATTGACACGCTTAGGTAGATAACGGAGAATCGTGTGTGCCAGATGTCGGGAAACACGTGGCACATGCTGCGTGCACCGGAGCATCCAAGATGGATTCGGCGATTTTGTACAGTTCTCACGTTTTGTACCAATAGCTCGGCAGCCAGAGCGGGCAGAGGTGCATAGCCAATTCAGAGCGTCGAACAATGTACCATCTGCCATTCATGTCGCCAACACAATCTTGTGCGACGCACGGTTGTGCCGATAATTTTCAGAAAGCCGGAAATGTCCGCCTAAAAAAACGGTGCTGAATACAACATGCTCTTGTTCGTGAGCGTGTGGCTAAATTTACACCACCACATGCACCTTTTCATTCACCGTACAAACCATCCATCTATCAGACATCCTGTGCATTGTCCCGTCCATATACCAATCTTACGACAGGGTTTTAATTCCTCATTTTTACGTCATCAAGATGCCGCCGGCCAATCGCTCTGCCGCCGACAGCGAGAATTGCGAGCAAAACGACGAAGCCAGAACGGGCCGTATATTGCGGGTGTCCGACAGTCGTCATTCCTTCATTCATTCGTTGCAGTCTGAAAGGTGACGCACAGTGATAATCAAATGCATTACCCGAACTCCTTACTTTGAGAAATGTCGGAGAAACCATACATCGATTGAAGGATTTCCGATGGATACAATAAGGGGCTCTAAGAAATTCCGTACTTTTGCAGCAAAGCTCACTGGTACGGCAAAACAGCACCTCCATTGGGGCTTCTCAAGATGTGTTTTGGAGTCACTACAAAGCCTGGCAATGCCCCAAAACCTTGCAGCAGCATTGAAAAGTGATAGTGGCGGACGTGATAGGATCTGGCATTTGCAGTAGGGCCAGTGGTGGCATAGGGTCTGGATCTAGGATCTGGCATTTGCAGTGGGGCAAGTGGTGTTTCCTTGAGCTGTTTGAATGCGCAACAACGCTCCAACAAGTAGAAACATGATTTGTTGAAAACTTGATTTAAAAGCTAAAAAAGCGTTGATTTTGTCGTAGCAAGGTGAGCGTGAGCTCATTACAGAAGAAGGCATCGAATTATATTTCGGGATCATTAACTGCTACCGCATTACTGTGCCTTATCAGTTTTCACGCAAGACAAGATGACGCGAAATCGGCAAGCACAATGGCAACTTTTACCTCAGGCTCGAACGAATATAATCCCAGGTACGCCGTTCAATAGGCTGTTACCCACCGATTTCCGTCCATGTTGCAAGGCATTCAACCCGTGATGCTGTACGAAATAGTGGCTTACGGACGAAGTTTGTTTCCCATGATCCAACTACGTCCCTGGTTGTCAGCACATCGCACCCGGTTCCCGTCAGGCATCCGGGCAGCTAGAGGTCGGGTCGGGTCGACCAGGCAATCCCATGGGTGGTGTAAAGTGCATTCCGAAATAATGCAAATTCAAATCATTCATAGAACCTCTGTCGCTTAGTGAACCAGGCCCGCCAACGCTTATAATACCCCTTTTGTTGGATTTCTTCGGTAAACCAAGGAATGACGGTTCACCCATATTTTTACCTTCCGTTAACCTGTAGAGGTCAAGCTAAGTGACTTAGGGAAAGGAGGATAGCAGATTCAAGGCTTCAGTGGGTTTGACCTTTGCGAAAAACCGGTTGGAAATCTGCAGTGCACGTTAAATTCGGATACGAATGGGATCCCAACTTGTCGGACATCTGCCACGCCCCTACAGCCGACTTCTGACTGCTGCTCACCGCTGCTATCTCAATCTTCAGCAGCGGCAGAAGCTGCTGAGCGGACAACATGCGAGGACACTTGCTGTTGGTGCTGGTGGCTACGCTGACTGCAGGTTCGAGGGCAAGTGCTAGCAGGATTGCCACGAACGTGTGTTGCCTCACCAACGCGAAACGGTCGTTTGAGCAAAGTTCGTTCTGTGTAGGATCGATATTAGGTAGCCAAAGTGTATATCGCTGCATATACCAACGCCATCTTGACAATGTGAAACCGTCCAGTTGAGTTGTAGCGCATGCCATACAGCTGGTTGCAGTGCAGTGGTGTTCGCGATTTACTATCATCCCGCCAGCAACTTCATCAAAATGCCTCATATGACTCCCCGTGCCACACATCAGGCGGCCCGGCGACCGAAGCACACCCAGCTGGCCCGGCGTCAGGCACGCAGACGGACCATGCAGACGCGCGTCACCCGACTGACATCCAGGCGGTGGTCGGAGAGACCGTTGATCTCTCCTGCCGATTCTCAGAACCCGGCAGACATTCGGTCAGTACACACACGCCTGGCCATCCTTTGTCGCTAAAACGAAGCCCTCGACGTCGCAAACGGAGGCTGACTCCTACCGACGGTCTTTGGCCGATACATGTACAGGGGTGGCCATGAATTGTAAAAATGTCCTGGTGGAGCGAAAAATGCATGTGATATACGCTTACAGCATGACATTTGGCATACACCTTGTCACACACACACACACACACACACACACTCACACACACACACACACACACACACACACACACACACACACACACACACACACACATATATATATATATATATATATATATATATATATATATATATATATATATATATATATATATATATATATATATGAGTATTCTGAGAGCAGGTTTTCGAGTATACATTGTTAGTCGTACCATACAGCGAATTCAGGACGCGTAACCCTGGTAGTTTTTCAGGGCATTGAGTTGCGTAGTTATCATCTTCATTGTGTTCGAAGCGAATAATATTGCATTTGCCAACGTTTCGATGGATTTTATGAATATTATCCACCGAAAATATTACGCTACAAATATGCAGTTAACCACAGCACGCATGCAAATGTTCAGTTTGGGTGTAAGTTTATCTTAGTTTCATGACCATGGTGTGCCAGAGTCAAACGGGGCTCACATAGCTTAGCTTAAAAAGCATACATGGCCAGCACTTGACGCGCGTCAAGGCATCTAACACCACGGAGAGGGCCTTTCCTATCTAGACCCAGAGTGCCCCTGCGTCTTCGGCGCAGTCACGGAGTCGCTAAAAGGCTGGAATCCGCTAGCTAATCGGAGGCGGGTCTTTCAGTTTACAGCTCTGCCCTTCTTAAGACTTAAACCCGTCTAGCTTCTGAGTTGTACGCCCGCGAAGATGTGCAGCTTATTTTGGGTAGGCTTTTCCAAGGTTATCCGGGCATCCATGACGCCATGATAACGCCATTGAAAACCTGCCATTACATAAGCCATGCGGCGATCCAGGCCAAAGCCTAGTCGTTCATATCTGGCGTTCGTGAGCACGATTTCCAGACAAAACAACCGTCAATTGACTCTCAAACAACGTTGTGCAAGGTACGATGATGCAGTCAGACAATTACTTAGTGAGGGCCATATTTACTCAACGGAGAACTTCTGCTGTCTAGAGCAATCTTTTCCACTTTAAAGTATACCAATGTGCAAGTGAGTTCAAGTGACCTCAATTCGTCACATTTCATGGTTGCTTCAATATCTTCAAATGCGGAATATTCACCTTTAAAGGCCCGGCTAGGCGTCAGAGCCCACCGCCATAGGTCCTTGGGCCCAAACCGTCCTGTACCTGAGCTAACCTTCTCTGCGACAGGTAGCGTGGATCCTAGAGCGAGACGTCTCCATTCTCACCCTTGGCGTGTTCACCTACAGCGGGGACCCAAGGTTTTCTGCCCACCGCCAGGTCAGTATCTGCGTCAGTTTCAGCATCATGACCTTGGTGGTGGTGGTGTGGGCAGCGTCAGTGCCGTTGCCAGCCTCTGCAGACCAACGGGGTGTCCTAAGCCTGCTCCCAAGCAAAGCAATTGGAAGGCGATTCAAAAATCCCGTACCATAACACAAATACCATCCTGGAGAGCATAGAGTTACGCTTTTTAAACTTGACAGAGCTATCATATTTTGTCCCCCCCCCCACCCCCGGTCTCAGAATGACCCTGGGGGGGGGGGGGGGCTGGAAAGTAGCGTCCACACTTATGTTTGGTCAGAGACAAATACCGCATTCAACTACAGTTTCAGGAATCCTTCAGTTACAGCGAAAAACAGGGGTTAATGAAAACAACGAATGTGTGCTGAAGTTTTGATTCCTCTGTTCTCTGTCTTCTATATATGGCCAGTGACTAGTGGGTACATTGGGTACCCCAATCCTCCGTTCCCCGTCACCCACAGCAGGAGAGTGAGGGGTGGATGGTGAAGACCTCAGTCCTCTGTTCCCCGTCACCCACATCAGGAGAGTGAGGGGTGGATGCTGAAGACCTCAGTCCTCTGTTCCCCGCCACCTACAGCAGAATAGTGAGGGGTGGATGCTGAAGACCTCAGTCCTCTGTTCCCCGTCACCTACAGCAGGATAGTGAGGGGTGGATGCTGAAGACCTCAGTCCTCTGTTCCCCGTCACCCACAGCAGGAGAGTAAGGGGTGGATGCAGAAGACCTCAGTCCTCTGTTCCCCGTCACCCACAGCAGGACAGTGAGGGGGTAGGTGCAGAAAACCTCAGTCCTCTGTTCCCCGTCACCCACAGCAGGATAGTGAGGGGTGGATGCTGAAGACCTCAGTCCTCTGTTCCCGTCACCCACAGCAGGACAGTGAGGGGAGGGGGGTGCCGAGGGCCTCAGTCTTCTGTTCCCTGCCACCCACAGCATGACAGTGATGAGTGGGTGCTGAGGATTAAAGACGTGAAGCAGCGGGACGCCGGCATCTACATCTGCCAGGTTACTTCGGACTCGGGCGCAAAGCTGCGGTTGAATCTGCATGTCAGAGGTTAGTGGTTTGGTTCAAATTTTCAGGTTTTATCGACCAAAACGGGTTGTTTTATACAACCCACAGCTCTGAGCCTTAAGTGGCAGCTAGTTGACCAAGGAGGAAGATTTTAAATTTGAAGTGGTTCAGCTGCCAAAATGAAGCAAAATCTTAAAAAGGGCAGTGGCACAGTCTTTGTAAGCATGCCTGGAAAAAAGTCAGCTCGCTTTCTTAGGCTATGTAATCGCCGAACTGAAAGACCGTGGCTCGTAGCAGCTACCCACTGAAGCATGTATGTTGTGAGTTAAAGGCGTCTTGAAGTTACAAATAGGTAACTAGGGGGCAGTGGCTCGGTCTTTGCCATTCCGCCTGAAGGAAAGCCAGCTCGCTTTCTTAGGCCATGTAATCAGTAAACCGAAGGACCGTGGCTCATTGGAGAAATCTACTTAAGCATGTATGTTGTGAGTTAATAGGCGCCCGGGCGGCCGGCTAGATATCCTTTGCTCGGATGGGGGGAGGGGGGGGGGGCAATTTGACCCCGCTGAGATCTCAGCAACTAAGTGAGCTAAAAACACCAAATTTAAAAGATGTGTTGACCTATACGTGAACTCACTTTAGTCAAAGTTTCAGGCTTCTAGGTTATGACCTTTGGGTCAAAAAAGGTTAAACAAGGTCAAGTTCCAGGTTGGTCTCCAAATTGCCCCCAGAACCTAGATGACCGTTTCTAAAAAAAAGGTCACATGCTCATTTAAGGTCAATGGCCTTGTTTGACCTGTTGAAGGTCATGGTGACCAATATCATACAAGACTGCTCTGAGTTTTACATTTGAATAAGTGATAAAGTTTACGCTAGACAGTATGCTCCTAAAAACCAAATGTTCACCTGGGTCATTTTAGGTCAGTGATCTATTCTGACCTCTAAGAAGTCCGTGAATGATGTATAATGCGGTTTCTGCTATCAATGAATTCGAAATGAGCACCAGAAACTATTCCACGCAGCAAGCCCCAGAGTAATAAAACAGGTTAGTTTTGACCTTGGTGTGACCGTCATACATGACCTTAGGTCAACGTAATATGCTCATTCAACTGTTGTGTTGCCTAAGAAAGCGTCTCAGAGATGTATGACTTCGTCTAACACTCCGTTGATGGATCAAATTGAAAGATTTCCTAGAAATTGCCTTCGCTGAAATAATGACCTGACTTTGACCTGCCATAAGTCAACGAACTTGCAAGATACATCTAAAGTTTTGGTGCCAAACGACCCGCTATTCAACTGTCTACATCTATGCAAAATTTGGCGCGGCTGCGCCGCGCCGTTCGGAAACCATTCTGGAAAAACCTTCGGGGGGAGGGGGGGGGGGTAATTTGATTCCACCCGAGCGCGTGTTAAGGGTATCATGAAGTTACAAAAAGGCAACTAGGTGGTGGCGATGCATTGCATATTGCGGATTTAGGAAATCATGGATTTCTTAGCAAGTTAGGTGGTAGGCGATACCTGGGTATCGTATCCGAATGCTCATTCTCATGTTTTGCTACCATACCACAACCACCCTACTGGACGTATGGTGTTAGGTGCAGTTCAATGCTCACATTTAACACAAATCGACGATCCCTCACATTTTAATTACCAGGGCTAGCACAGAGTACGCTGACGCCTGAAGTAAAGGCGTTTGTGGGGGCATAGAGCCATTCGAACTTCAGTGCTTATAAAAGATCAACTGTTAAATGTCGATTAACAGTATACATGCTATTTATCATCTGATCCGCTGTATCACGCAGATTAAAAAATGGTTCAAAGAAAGCTAACCCAAACAGATAAAAATGTATTATCACAAATTTCTGTAATTATCAGTTTTTCGTAAAATTCAATATTTTCCATTGATTTCAGCAGGAGGCACAAAAAAAACTGGAGAAACCCAGCCTCATCGATTTTGTTTAAAATACTAAAAATGTCCACCTTCCCAGATAACGAGGGCATATCTTCAGATTTTTGCGGGCACCAAAATCTGTGATATTTAGACGTCACCGTATCCGGAAATCTTAATTTACAACTATAAAACTTAATACTGGATCATCAGATTAATACTGAACCCGATCTAAACTTTTTATGATTGAACATACACACCAGTTGTAGCAAAATTTTTAAGGGCAAGAATTAATTTACCGAACCAAGGTTGCGGTCATCGCAGGTCACGTGATTACCCTTTGCAACCAAGCACAAATAACACCTCTACAAACAAAAAATGTGATGCAGAGCCGAATGATGTCAAATGCATCATGTAATGGCGCTTACTTCAAAAGATGAACTCAGAAATCTCTACTATTATATGTATGATTAGCTTCTGGCACAATGCATTATTTCCCGCTGACCTGAACGTGGGCACCACGACTTGGAAGGCTCTGACCTCTTCTATTGTTTCTTTTTAGAATCGCTGGAAGTATGCAATATACCAGAAAACGAGGGCACCTTAGGGTTTTTCCGGGCATAACAACTGTGACCTTCGGAGGTCACCGGATGCCAGACGATTATGCGTCATAGAGAAATACAATGCTTAATGGCAGGCCCAACGAACATGTTGAAACCGATGCAAGCCAAGTGTAATGCCACCGAGGCATATCCAGCTCCAGGCCAGTTTAAGACTTACGTATTGCCCGGAAGGCCGGAGAAAGCAATGGGGTTGCGTTATCATAAGCGAACACTGGTACCCGTTCGTTATGGCGCTATTTTCTTGCAAGGTTGTGAGTAACTGCATTATACTCTTGACTGGTTGTGAGAAACTATGCATTTGGCTAGGTTTGCAGAGCCACTCAGCACTCCTATTAGCTGTGTGATTGTTTGGCCTTTACGATCGTACTCAAGAGGTTGATTCCACTGGCAAAACAGAACTCAAAGATGTCGGAAGCTCCGCTGTATGTTCTGAATTGCATGATAATCTCATCGCGCTCACTTTGGCTTTTTTGGTGGCTTTCCTCCTGCAAAATTTTGCTTTGTCCCAGGACACAAAAGCTAACAAGGGAATATTGATCTCCCCAGTGATACTTTCATATATGGAAAGACATAAGGCGGGGTCCAAAGTCTATTGATATTGTCGGCAGTTGCCAAGAGCGTCGATTCCTGTATGTCTTTGTTAGGGGAGGGGGGGGGGGGGATGGCGAGTCGAGAGGCCAACAACCTGTCTCTCCCTAATGCCTGCTTCTCAACGGGCTTAGCGTTCCTTATTTCGACGGAGCACGATTTTTCTTTTAAATTTTGTATCATTGATCAAATTGCCTCTTTTAACACAAAAACATTGCTAAAGGTAATATGAAAATATTTACTGTTCAGCGTAATTAGCGTGTTTACTAATCATATCTAGATAGACATGCCGGCGAAGATAAACTTTGTTTACGGTGTAATTTTTTCCGCGGGCTCAACAAATCGACTCAAATCAACATTCAGAGGACCTGGGTGCTCACAAAGCGACGTAAATTAAGACCTCTGGCAGGAGGTTTACGGCGGTTAAGCTGGTTAAAACGCTTCGAAAGTAATATTGCCCCCTTTGTTCTGCCTCTTTTATAACTAAAGTCACGCCATAATAGTGCATGGCAACAATTTATTTTAGGAACAGCGAATGACTTCGTTTGACCGTCCGAAATTCTGGGATCTGTGCCCCGTCCCTTTTAGGATATGAGGCAGATTCAAATTATCGCCATTCATCAACTAACTCGTCCAAGATCATTGCTTTGCCCAAATCCAAAGAATGTCTTTGTAGTGGGGAAGGTATGCTGTCCTTTCTTCCCGGCTCCTACTCCCATTGGTGTCAGCATGTACTCATTATGTCTTTCAGTGAAAGTTTTGTTGTATTTTCCGTTGTTTCGTGAAATTTAGTGTTGTTTAGTGCATGCTGCCCCAATCAAAGTTTTTCATATCGCGCAATGTGTTGACATAGATGCTCAGACAAAGCGTTTCCCTTGTCGCGCATTGACGTCTCTGGTTCTGCGGTTTCGCAGAGAAAAACTCAGGAGGAGGAAAGCAGACCAGCACCGACGCTCCTGTCCCGCTGCTACTTGAGTTGATGATGGCATTGTCGACTGCCGTTTCACTCATCTTATGATTGTGATGGTGGTGGTGGTGCCAGTAATGTGAGAAAACTGGTGAGGTGTCTGACAAATCCCGGTAACGAAAAAAGGGTAGCATACGGTGCTGTCAGCAGCCTGCCACACCGCTTGTGGTAGCGGGGTAGCAGCCGGTAGCTGAGGGTAGCAGCTGACGTTGAAGCTTACCCAGTATCCCAAAAGCTATTTCTAAGCTTTTCCTAGAGGTCCACGCCAATGCCCTGACACATTGCGTGTACGTGTGTATGTGTGGGGGAAGGGGGAGGGGCTTCAGCTCCCAAATGTATGACAATTTTCGCCCAGGTTGTCATGTATGTCAGTGTGGAGGCGGGCAGTGTTTGCGATAGAGCGCTTGGGGAGGGGGGGGAGGGGGGGATCGTGATAGGTTGGGCACGCGACGACGCCATTAGCCTTGTCCACTTGCTCCCCGGCACGACATCGGGAAGAATAGCTCTAATGCCGGGTAGTGCCGGTCATGTTAGACGCCGCGGACACGCGCGGACGAGGAGATTCGTTTATTGAATTTTGTGTTTCGGCTTAACGGGAATGTTCCACATTTGCATGGGGTTTTGAACTGAAATAGGCGTCGTAAAGATCTTTCAGTTCAGCTAACAGCCTTGCCCTTCTCAAAGCCTAAAACAGTGCTGTTTCTGAGCTACACGCCCGTGAGGATGTGCAGACTATTTCAGGAAAACTATTTCAAGGTCACACAGGCATCCATGACGCCATAATAGCGTCATTCAAATCCTGACATTCCGTTGTGCATACGGTGGTCAAGACTGAAAATTATGTGATTGTCGAGTCGTTTATATCCGGCGTCCGTGACCACGATTTCGTCAAGTGTCTCTCAATCAACGTTACGCAAGGTATGATGACGTAATCAAGCAATGCTGTATTGAAGAGGATGTTTACCAGACAAATGTTGTTGTTTTGAGAATCCTTTGCAGCTTTAAAGTACACTTATAGTTATAAGTGAGATTATTTCACCACGTATGATGTTTGCTTCAATATCTTGAAATGTGGAACATTACCTTTAAGTTACAGATTGTGTGAGGCATACTACCAAGGCTTTCCAGAGATGGGATTGAGAAATAACTAGCTTTAGAAAAACACCGTCACCGACAGTGCCAACGGGAGAAGCAACGATCCAAACACAGATGCCACAACGCAGAAAAGGCCGGAATGTATAGCAAACGCTTACGCGTTGAACCAGCGCACCAATGCCGAAAGCGTCACCGTGTTGCGCGTGGGACAGCAACAAAAGTGCCGTCGATACACTTGCTGGCACCCCTGAAAACACCATCTCGTTGCGCGTGGGAGCACCACAGGTAAGTGCCGGCAAATACAGCTCCGGGCACTCCCGAAAACGCCATCTTGTTGCGCGTGGGAGCACCACAGGTGAGCGCCGGCAAATACGCCTGCGGGCATGCCGCCGCATCGACATCCTGCCAGACCTATAGGGCGTTGCGGCTGTGACTGCAGTGGCTCCCGTGCCGGTGGTCTCGTAGGCTGGCACTGCCGTGGCCGACCTGACCTGGAACTGGCGGGGCACAGCGAGGCCAACAAAGCGTACAGCTGGCCGGTAAAGCTGGGGTATACGGCCCGGGAGGCTCTCATGAAACAGGAACGATGCCCACAAGATGTGGTGGAAGTTGCGACCCAGCTGAACGTGAAAGTGTTTACGAAAGTTGTTGTACTCGGCAAAGCCGGTATCATGATCCCAGCCAACCAGTCCCTGAGCGGTTGATAGTCGGAAGGCAGGACCTCTTTAGAGGAGAGGACTCTACCTGGGCCACGCTAGGGATGAGAAACTACCCTGGCATGCAAGGCAGTGGCGTCTTCGCTCCAAGCTATTGTCACTTTTCCCGAATAAACGCAGGCCCCGCGCGCGAAAGAGTGTGTCGTGTCAAGAAAGGGCAGGTGGTAACATGCGGAGGTTAGGTTGGTATGGTTCTTAAAATGTTCCACATTGCTAGAGTGTTAAAGAGCAGTACTCCAGTCCGACCCTGTGTACCACTGAAGGAGATTAGAAGTCCAAATTGTGGCCAACGTTGAGTGGGGAAGGGAAGAATAACTGCAGCATGAACTGTTGTGAGGATGGAGCGAATGCATCGACGAAGAAAAAGGGAGGGAGAGAGGGGGAGGACAAAAGATAGAGACCAGTGGGAAGAATTGCAACCCAAAAGATGGAAGGGACAAAAAACCTAAAAAAAAAACACCAATCAGTTCATGCTTGAACCCTAAGACATACTGTCAGGAGCAATAGGCGAAATGCATTGCAGGACGCGCTATAACCCGCCTCATGCCACATGGTTGCAGCATGGGAAGAACCACGCCACCGCATCCTTATGCCGATATGTTCTAATTGTAGCCTCAGTACCTCTCTCAGGCAGTGAAGTTACCAATGTCCCACCAGGAATTATCAAGCCTCGCAGCTGTATATGGTTCGGAAACGAGCACAGGGTGCAGCACGCCACTGGGTACACTTGCCGTGCAAACCAGTCATTTGAATGAACAGTGGGTTCTACCGTCGTGAACATGTCCCAAAATGATTGTAAATGTTTCAGAGACTGGCAAATGACCCATGCAGGCAAAGAAGACCCAAGAGGACACAAACATTTTGGTGGAACTGCTCCAGAAAGTTAAGGCTTTTTAGTAATAAGTTTTACAATTTGTTGCAATAAATTGCAGAATGCTGCAACAACAATTCACTGGGAAACCGAGTCCCATAGAGCTCCATTGCCACCTCCATTCGTCTTGCAAGGCTCAAGAGCCATTGAAAAGGATTGCTGGAAATTACACAGCATTGTTAAATCAATCAAATCACTCTGCAGCAACAATATACGACACACATGCTACTTCTTACGCTACCAAAACTCATGCCTATGAGGCAGTGTGTCTCTGGAGGATACTTACTCTACTGTCAGAATGTCAAATTGCTATTAGAGGTAGGCTTTGTCTAGCATTGATTTAAATGACCAGTGGCTGTCACCAAACTGCATCAGACTTGTCACCAACCGCATCCATTAAACGAAAACACAACACAAACCTAAAGAGTGTTAGGTTTTAGGAGAAGTAATAAGCAACAATCTGACATGTCCAAGACGATGTTTGGGGAATGGAAAGATGGCATCTAGAAATCCAGTTGCGATTAAAATGAGCGTCGTGTAAAAAAGCGGCGGTGATAAAAAGCTTCCTGCGGGTGTGTCAGCCCCCATTTAGAATGCTGTATACAATGGGTGAAATGGCCAAGTGGTTAGTACCTTGAGCTTCCATGTGGGGCCCGGGTTTGAATTCCAGTAACACCCGAGGGCTAATGTGGCAGTGCAGTGTCTGGCACTGTTTAAAAGGAGGGGGGGGGGGGGGGGGGTGATGACGTGCGTCGCGTTGTTGCTTTTGAAAAACACAATTGCTGTTCAGTTGGTCCACACATTAAGTGAATATATATACATATATATATATATATACATACATATATATATATATATATATATATATGTATATATGTGTGCATATACAACCAACATAAAACTGCAGCTTTCGACCACAAAAATGATAAACGGGATGAAAACGAAGAGCACTCTAAAAGATTAGCTAACCTGGACATGCAGTCACTGTGTTGCGGACGCCATAGAGCGAATGCAATACAAGTATTCTAAGCTGCTTCAATGCATTAGAAAGGTAGCAGGTGGAAATACGTTTGAATGCTTTGAAACTGCGATGACAGGGGTTAAAGGTATTCAAAGCTTTGACACAGTTTTCGGGAGAAATTGCTGTGTTTTGACAACTTCCAAAACTACCTTAGATAGTATCAACAGCAAAATAGTAATTGCTTGCCTTTTATAAACACACCCACACCCACACCCACACCCACACCCACACCCACATAAATGATGTATACACACACACACACACACATATATATATATATATATATATATATATATATATATATATATATATATATATACATATATATCAACTATAGTAATTATCGTAACGTCATTAGTAGCTCCTAACCGGATTTTGTAGTGGAGGGATTTGAACAATAACGGAATGAATTTGCAATATCGGCAAGTTTCATGTTGCGAGTCATGTGATGCTGCATCCTGCGGCGGATCTAGAGGGAGCCATCATGACCCCTCCTTTGGGTCCCGAAGTGGCACGCTGTTTAGAGGCCTTACGCTGCTGCCGGAGGCCTTAAATATCCACTGGCAGGGGCATTTCGAGCACTAAGAAGCCTTCCACGTTACCCTTGATTCCTTTGCACTTGCTCGGGGGCCAAACGCTGCTGTCGGGGCCCTATATGCTAGCATGCCGGGGCACCCTTGTCGATCAGGGTCATTCATGGGTTCTTCCACAAGTCGTCCGAAAGGCTCGCTGTGGTATCGCCGAGAGCTCATTTGCTTACCTGTCGGGTCACTCTCAGTTTCTCAGGGGCCCTTTACATCGCTCTGCATCGCATCTTTGCTCGCGCTCGCATCTTCTGTTTTGAAATTGAACGCTTTTCCTAAAATCTGACCTTTCCGAAAATGAAAATGCCTGCCTGTCTCATTCACAATAGCCCAGGGGACGTGCTTGTTTTTAGACATTTGAACAATTGCATTGGGTAAGATAATTCCAGGTTCATCTTCAAAGCATGGGGAAGAAGTAAGTTGCGTCAGAATAAACTGTTTTCCAGCAGTTTTACTTTTCGACGGCTGACAATTTATTTGAGCTGATGATCTAGGATACAGATGGACACTTTCTGACAGTCTTACTAAGTTAATTTCTTCTTCCCGACAGTTTTGCTTTTGCTTTAGAGGAAACAACGCTTTTCCAATTTTCAGTAACTGATTATCGAAATCAAGGATAGCTTTTCTTTCATTGAGAAAGTCCACGTCTAAAATCATGTCGTGGCCTAGTCCCGTAACCACACAAAATGAATGATGCATTCGGGTTTTACCTAATGTAATTCGAACTTCTACCATTTTTGTGACTTTAAGTCGGGGGCCTGGGGCAGATACTAAAGGTACTTTTTCCTGACATGTTTCCTTTAGCAAGGTGGTAGTGTGATTGTGTGATGTGTTTACCTGCACCGCTACTGGGGACGGGTCAGCCACATGGTTTATCAGCATCATTCTAAAAGCGACCAGTAACGTTTCCGGTTAGCTGTTAAACTGTCGGCCGGTTCGGGCAGATATTGAAAGGTGCACTCGATCAACCTGCATTGTGGGAATCCGCTGTTCACGTGCAG